CAGAGTCAGCCGCAGGCCCCGCCTCCCGAGGCATCGACGGGGCCGCTTCCGCACAAGCCGACGCCCGAAGAGGTCCAGCTCCTCCAGCCACCTTCTCTGCAGCATGGGCAGTCCGACCACCGCGCTGCAGTGGCCGCAGTGGCGGCCCCGTCCAGCAGCGATGGCGTGGCCGCAGTGCCCGCTCCCGTGCCGAAGCAGCCGGCGCAGCAGTTCCACCGGCAGTGTCGTGACAGCAGCGGGTGGCAGCAACCTGCCTGGCAGCGTGAAGCCCGCCTGTGGCTGCCAGATGCACAGGCGCATCCGCAGCTCTACAGGGACCCGAGCGTCGCTTACCGAGGCGGTGGCACACCATGCCTGCGACAGAGCGGGTACGCCGAGGCCGCACTGGCGGCGCACCCGCAGCAACCGCCACAGATGGAGCTCCCCCGAGTGTGGGACGTCATGGACCTAAATGGCAGCTTTTATTATGTACCGCATGTGCGGGTCCTCGAAATCGGATGGCGAAATGCTGCCGTTTCGGCCAGCAAGCGGGCGACAGCCACCGAGTAGAACAAATCGTGCTTACCCGAAGCATTTGGATCAACGTTGAGCACGAAGTCGTTCCGTTCGCGAATGGACTGCTTGTTTGCGCCCCCGAACGCTCCCTGTGGATCGGTGGCGAGAACCTCGTCAATCTCCACATTCGTGAAAAGCATTGCTCCTCAACGGCAAGATTCTGCGACAGTGGGCAGCTTCGGACAGCTCGCTAGCGAAACAGCTCTGGGCTTGACCCTCAGTGGCTGCGGACTGCATAGCGCCACATAGAATACCTCGGATAAGGCGCAGCCACTTCCCGAGTGCGTATGGGCACTGCAACTGCGCCAGGAGTGTTTGGCATCATGTGCGGGGCAACCGCAGCCTTTTGCCGCCATGCGCTGTTCTTAAAAAGGGCGAAGACCCCGCCCGCCCCCAATCCCCACCTGCGGCCTGACTGCACCATCCAGCCAGCAGAGGGCGTCATAGGGGGGCGCGGGTCCAAACAGCGGCCGCGCCGACAGCCCATCGGAGCGCGCGATGCAAGGAGAAGCCCGGGCGCCGCGAGAGGCACGCCCGATGCAACCGCCGCGCCCCAAAGTATGCTGATGGCGCGATGGGGCGCCTCGTTTGGGCGATGCGCGGGAGGGCTTGCGCGCGCCTCGCACTAGTAATTGCGCCTGGCGGGGGCAGCGCGCTTCCGTCGCCCATTGGCCGCTTGGGGGTGATAGCCCCGCTGGAAGCCAGGCCCAATCTGCTCAGCCGCCTTCGCGAACGTAGAACTTCGCATCAGGGGGCGATTTGGCCCGGCGTGGGCTTGCTCTGCGTGTCCGGGCGCGCCGGCGCCCCCGCGAACGCAGAATGTGCGGCTGAGTGCGCCTTGGTCCCGGAATGGGCAGCTTGCCATTGCAGGCGTTCCCAGCGTAAATTGCGCATCCAAGCGCGATGTGGCCCAGTCTGGGCCCAGCCTACCTGCCCAGGCGTCCAGGCGCTCCTGTGAACGCAAAATTCGCAGCGGATAGCCATGTGGCCCGAAATAAGCAAATTGATGCTCCCACGGTTCCAGGCGCCCTTGTGGGCGGCAATGGCGCATCCGAGCGCGGAGTGGCCTTATCTGGGCCCGATCTGCTTATCCAGGCGCCGGCGCCCCTGCGGGCGCGGAATGCGCACCTGGGCGCGTTTAGGTTCGAACTGGGCAGATTGCCACTCTGGGCGCAGGCGCTCCCGTGGGCGCAAATTGCGCATCCGAGCAGGATTTGCTAGCTCAGGCGCCCGAGCGCCCCCGTGGACGCAGAAGACGCGTCTGAACGCGAATGGGTCCGACACGGACAAATTGCCGCTCCCAGCGTCCCAGGCGCTCCCGTGGGTGCAAATTGCGCATCCGAGCGCGATTTGCCTGTTCAGGCGCCCGGGCGCCCCCCGTGAACGCAGAATGCGCATCTGAACGCGAATGGACCCGAAACTGGCAAATTGCCACTCCCAGCGTCCCAGGCGCTCCTGCGGGCGCCAGGTGCGCATCTGAGCGCAGTGTGGCCCTATCCGAGCATTGCGGCGCAGCTCCTTGCAGGGGGCGTTGTCTGCCAGAGGCTCCTTTAGGGGGGCGTTGCGTGCCAGAGTTCCTTCTTAGGGGAGCTGGCGTGCCAGAGCTCCCTATCAGGGGATTGGTGGCGCCTCTTCTATCAGGGAGCAAGAAGGCGCAGCTCGTTACAGCGAGCGTCATCAGCCAAGGCCCCTTTCAGGGAGCACGGCGTGCCATGCCTCAGCTCCCTATCAGGGAAGTGGCGGCACGGGCCCCTATCGGGGAGCTCGGCATAGCACGTGTGTGCATAGCGCCCTAGCGGGGGAGAGCGAGTGGGAGTCCGCAAATCTTCCCAGGGAGTGGCCAGACCTCCGCTCCTTTGAGGACTACCATGCTTCCGCCGCTCCTAGCAAACTTCAACGGCTCCCGGCAGAACCAGCAACAGGTGGAACCACGACAGGTAAGAGGGGTTGCTGGACAGGCAGCGAAAAATGCGACGACAAGATGGAACATATAACGCAGAACCACGACCCGGAGGAACTGGCGAACGATTTTGCGCAGGAAAGCTGGGCGCTTAAGCGCACAAGCGAGAACTGGACTTGGGATAACCACCAGTGGGAGTGGGAGAACGGCGCGTGGATGTACACGTGAAGGTGTGGGGGAGGAATTGGCCGCAGTGGCGGCCTCTCTCTCGTGCGAGCCCCACGCGGAACGCAAGCTTGCGGGGTCGCACATTGCATCTTGTTTTGCTCCTTTTCCTCTCTTGTCCTTCTGTCTTGCCCTTGATCCCTCTCTCCTTCTCCTCCCCCTCCCCATTTCTTTATTTACCAGACTATTCATTTTTTTTTTTTTCTCTCTCTCTCTCTCTGTATATACATTTCTCTCTTTCTCTCTTCTCGCGCTCTCTCTCTCTCTCTTTTTCTGCGTGTCTGCGTGTCTGTCTCTGTGTATGCGTGTCTGTCTGTCTGTCAGTCAGTCTGTCTGTCTGTTCGTCTGTCTGTCGTCTGTCTTTCTTTGTCTGTCGCATTTTCGAGCCATGTAAAAGGAGCCTGCAGCCATGTAGTGACGGGTTGAAAGGGCGAACCTGCAGCCGTAGAGTGGAGGTTGTAGGGGCTTGAAACTTACTGCCATCGTGTTTTTGAACTGACCGTTCGATTTGCCTTGCCCCGATGATTTGAGCGCTCGAGAGACTTTCGCTGTAGCTGCGTGTGACTGCAATGTGCGCGCGAGTGCGTGTGTGTGTGTGCGTGTGTGTATATATATATATATATATATATGTGTGTGTCTGTGTGTGTGTGTGCGTGTGTGCGTGTATGTGTGTGTGTGTGTGTGTGCGTGTATGTGTGTGTGTGTGTGATAGGGGGCGAGCTGGTGCCACGTCTCGCCTGTTTTCTTCTCGCTGGCTTTTGTCCTCTGCTGTGGGCTCCTCGCGCTCGAGTCTTTCGCTCCTACAGCCTGGGTGTTGGCGCCTGCGTTCGTGTTGCACTGGCCGCTTTCGTGTCGTCACCCCCTGTCGTCACCCCCGCTTTCGCGTGGTGTTAGACATTTCGTGTCGTCACCCCCTGTCTGATTCAGACATGGCGCCGAGAGGCTCAAGGGAAACAGGTGTGGGGCGCGCGAGACGGCCGCGCGCACACAAGAGCGGATTGGGGCGAAGGGGGGGGGGCGGCCTTGTATCAAGGGAGGAAAACCACCCGGACCGGACAATTGGCGTTTACTGAACGGCCTTGGGCGTTTTTTAGACAGCCCTGCCCTGTTCGATTCCTTCAGTGGGGGCGTTTAGTAAACGGTTCGCGTGTCGGGGTGGTTCTTACGGGGGTGGATTTTTCGCCTTCTTACCTGGATGCAACTCCTTGGAGGTTAGATTCTGATTTTGCCCTGGTCCGAAATCTGGCTTAATCCGGCTTAATCCCGTCCAATCCCGTTTAATCCCGCTCAATCCCGCTTAATCCAGCTTAATCCCGCCTAATCCGAGGCCCACCCTGGCGTAACAGCTCCCGAACGGGGCTTCATCCTCCTTAAATCTTTCCGACGAAAACCTCCCAGTAGTTGCCTCCTAACTCTTACTGTAAGAAGGCAGGGGGCAGCTCAGGGGGGCCTTGCCCCTGCTCGGTGCTTCCCGAGAGCGCCCGCCACGGGCCGTGCGGAGGCCGCGAGAGGGCCTCCGAGAGAGCGGGGGGCCCTGTCAGACGGCTCCCCTCCCCGTCCCGGCCCCTCCGCCTCCTCCTCCTCCTCCCCCTCCTCCTCCTCCTCCTCCTCCTCCTCCTCCTCCTCCTCCTCCTCCTCCTCCCCCTCCTACTCTTCCTCCTCCCCCTCCTCCTCGTCCTCCAGCGCTGCGCGCCGACGAGCGGACGGCAGTGCCGCAGCCGTGAGTGCAGGTGGATCCTCGGTATTTGCCGCCCTGTCCGCGGGAACGTCCACGGCGGCGGGGAGTGACGGCACGGCGCGCGGGTGTCGGCGGCGACGATAGAGGCGAATAGCCCAGGGGCGGGCATTGCACGTATTCCCCTTTTCGAAGACATAGATCATCGGCGCACCTGAATACATGTATTGCTCTCCCCTGGGCCATTCGCCCCTATCGTCGCCTCTGAGGGTGTTCGGATCCAAGAACGGAGAACAAGCCACGATGGCGACGGTGTGAACGAGTAGGGGGCACACGGGCAAGATGTGGAGCAGGGGGAGCGGGAAGATGATCAGGGGAGCAAGCGCGGCGCGCGCATGGGAGGGAGGGAGGAGGGAGGAGGGAGGTCGGCGGGGCGGGAGGGAGACAGCGAGGGAGTAAGTGAGGGAGCGAGTGGGGCAGGGGGGTAAGCAAGGATGGGGGAGACAGAGCGGGAGGCAGAGAGGGAGAGGGTGAACGGGCGATGGGGGAGGAGGGCAAGAGGGACAGACAAGGGGGAGGGCAAAGGACAAATACAGGGGCCGCGAAAGGTCCGAGAGCTCTCGAGTGGGTGCGCCCCCCCGCGAGGTCTTCATCGGCCATGTCGACGCGGGTAAGTCCACGACCTGCGGCAATATTCTGTATCTCAGCGGCTGTGTCGACGACAGGACTTTTTGGCCCAACCCGATATGTAGCCAGAGAGCAGCTCGTGCCCAGGCAAGCATACCTCCTCCTCCTCATTCGCCTGCGCCTCCTCCTCCCACGCTCGTCCCTCCTCCCTCCCCTTTTCTCCCTCCCGCCTCTCTCCTCTTTCCCGTTTCCTCGCTGATTTCCTCCTGCCTGCTTGCTCCTCTCTTCCTCTTCTCCTCTCCTCCAAGGAGGCAGGCGACGAGGAGGGGGAGAGTGGGGGGATTGGGGGAAGGCCCCTCCTCCCCTCTTGCTCCTCTCACCCTCCTCCTCCTCCTCCTCCTCTTCCTCCTCCTCCTCCTCCTCCTCCTCCTCCTCGGGATGAAGAGACGGGGCAGGATGAGGGATGATGAAGACGAGTACGAGGAGGAGGAGGAGGAGCAGGAAGAGGAGGAGGAGAAAGCGGAGGAGGAACAGGATGTGACCGAAGAGGGTTCGGAGCAAGACAATGCGGACGATGACTATGCTGATGATGACTGTGATGATTCTGATTGAGCTGGCGATGGTGACAGCGAGAAGGATGATGTTTATATGCGTTTTGACTGAGTCGATGCTTAGGGTGAAGAACGCATCGCGGAAGCTCGGTCGAGCCCTCTGCCCACTTCGAAAAGTGAGTGTGTGTGTGTGTGTGTGTTTTTACCCCCTCTTGCACGACCTGCGTGTACTCTGGAATCGTCTCTTGCGCACCCCCCGGGTCCTGGCGGGGTGCGGGGGGATGCGGCCTTTTCCCTCCTCCTCCTTCGAGCTCCCAGCGCGTTCCGGAAAGCCTTCCCTGGAACGCGCTGGGTCCCGACAGCCACTTGTGACGATTCTTGGCTGGCTGATTTCTGTATGGGCGTGTTGTGCGGAGCGCCGTGCTGCGCGTGAGGTGTAGCAGGCATGGCGTGGGATTCGTCTGCTTGCTAGTCAGCGTTCTCCGGCAAGGGCAGTTCAACTTGGAGGCTGACGTGCACGTCGTCTTCGCTTGTCGCGATACGGGCATTGTCGAGCGATACGAGCACCGATGCTCTCGCTTCCCCTCCTCTCCCCGCAGCTTCTGAGCGCGGCCCCCGCCGAGGCGCTCCTGGCCCGCGCGCGCGGGCGCGAGAGTGGGTGGACACAAAGTGTCCATCATCGTCATCATCATCATCATCATCATCATCGTCATCATCATCATCATCATCATCATCATCATCATCATCATCATCATCATCATCATCATCATCATCATCATCATCATCATCATCATCATCATCATCATCATCATCATCATCATCATCATCATCATCATCATCATCATCATCATCATCATCATCATCATCATCATCATCATCATCATCATCATCATCATCATCTTCATCTTCATCTTCATCTTCATCTTCATCTTCATCTTCATCTTCATCTTCATCTTCATCTTCATCACCATCACCATCACCATCAGCATCCACGGTTTCCGAACACCGACACCATCGCCAACAGTTTCATCACCAGCATCAACACCCACAACACCATCGCCTCAGTTTAGGGAGTTTGTCTTGTGATGTCACGTCATCCTGACCCCTGGCGCCCCTTCCCACTTCTGCCAGATACCCTTCAGTCCACTCCACTCCAGCCGACGCTACTCCACTCCTCCGCCTTCCTCCAGAGACCGACGCTATCATCCCGACGCTCGTGCGCTCTTCAGGCCTCCTCCCCACTCTTCCCTTCCTCGGGGCCTCACGTAAAACGCACTCAGTGTAAGTGACGCTCAAATATCATAACTATATGAACTGGTCTTTGAAACACGGTGGGTTGACAAGAAATGTTCGCACCCATCACGCCAATATGATAAGACGCCGAATTGCGTCGAACAAATATCCATCGCTCCCGCCTCCCCCAACCCAAAGTTGACGGGGTTGGGTGCGAGGCAACGCGCGGGGGACAAAGTATGGACACGTCAACTTTGGGACTGGGGGTGGGGGGGCGAGCCACATGAATATTGCAAGTGTCGTTGCCATCATGCCCGATGGTCTTCACGCTGTCGTTGTGGGCACTTTTTGTCTGGGCACCGTCTGGGTCAGAAGAGTTTCGTCGTTTCGTTGATGTGGATGTACATGTGGGTGTGCAGGTAACATGGGTGTGCAGGTAACAGGGCGCTGCCCCCCCACGCCGCAGGCCTCTGCTTGCGCGGAACTGGTACAACTGGATAGGACTGGTCATAGAACTGGTCCATTAAGAAAAGGGTACGGCATAGAACCGGTCGAAATTCTAAACAGAAAGAGATTCAACATGTCATTTTTTTACTTGAGCCGACCAGCTCTATGCTGGACCATATTTTCAAAGGACTAGTTTTGTGACCAGTACTATGACCAGTTCTACTTAGTTATACCAGTTCCGCGCAAGTAGAGGCCTGCGGCGGGGGGGGACGCCCTGTTGCTTGCATCCATGTTACCTGCGCGCCCACATCTATATCCACATCAACGTAACCACGAAACTCTTGCTACCCAGACGTGTTTCAAAGACCGGTTCATCATCATCATCATCATCATCATCATCATCATCACCATCACCATCAACGGTGTCCGAACACCAACACCATCGCCAACATTTTGATCACCAACATCAACACCAACAACACCATCGCCACCACCGTTGTCAGTTTAGGCAGTTTGTCTTGTGAACTCACGTCATCCTGACCCCTGGCGCCCCTTCCCACTTCTGCCAGATACCCCTCATTCCACTCCACTCCAGCCGACGCTACTCCCCTCCTCCGCCTTCCTCCAGAGACCGACGCTATCATCCCGACGCTCGTGCGCTCGTCATACCTCCTCCCCACTCTTCCCCTCCTCGGGGCCTCACGTGAAGCGCACTCAGTGTAAGTAGCGCTCAAATATCCTAGTGATATGAACCGGTCTTTGAAACGAGTCTGGGTAAGGAGAGTTTCGTGATTTCGTTGGCGTGGATGTACATGTGGGTGTGCAGGTAACGTGGGTGCGCAGGTAACAGGGCGCTGCCCGCCCCCGCCGCAGGCCTCTGCTTGCGCGGAATTGGTACAACTGGATAGAACTGGTCATAGAACTGGTCATAGAACTGGTCCATGGAACTGGTCGAAATTCTAAAGAGAAGGAATTTCAGCGTGTAGAATTCTTAATTTGAACCGCTTTTCATCGCCAGTGCGAGGGTGCCGCCATCGTCGTCGGCGTGATCAGCGTCTGCGCACGCGCTGGCCTTGTCACCAACGCCGCTACTAACGTGATCGTGTCTATCGTGGGCGACGTTTCCATGATACCGCGCCCGCCCAAATCGCCGATTCGCAGTGAAGTGCCCGCTGGGATTTGCCTAGCGGTCAGCCAAACTGGCTGGCTGCTGTGCGCGCGAGCATGCGCGGGCTAGCGCTGCCGCAGAGATGCACCAGCCAACGCCATGCACTCATCGCAATCGCCGCCGCGTGGGTTTCGCAAGCCATGTTGCGGGTGGGTGGGTGGGTGGAATGTTTGCGCGAGCAGTGCAACTTCAAGTTTTGAAAGGTGAGCTCTCCATTAACAGGGGGATCTCTACCCCCCGGGGATGATCCAGCCTCTTATTCGTTTTGCAATTTTCATATGGTTCTGCCCCATCGTCCACCATGCATGCGAACGCGTGCCATCCCAGCCGAGCCAGTATCCGCCGCCCGCTGCAGAACATAAGATGCGCGCGCATTCGCTCATCACAAGTCGTCAGTTTTCAAGAATTCCTTGCCGCAGCATTGACGAAGTGCAAACGCGCGCGTTGTCGCGCGCGCGCCAATGTCCTTCCGAAGCCTTGGGTCGAATGCGGGTGTCGAAATCGAGTGCCAAAGCAACATTTTAAACCAGGGTTTCGCGACGCGGGTTTTCAAGAAAAGCTTGCGCGCGTGCTCCTGCGAGTTCTTGAGAAAGCCAGGGTTTTTTTCCACAAATTGCATAACGTGCCACCAAACAGGCTTCGCGCGCGCGCGTCGAAATCGTTCGAACGCCTTTGCGCGCGTGCCATTGCGATAATCCATTGCAACGAATAGGGCGAAGTGCGCGCGCCCGCGTCGTCGCGCGTGCGTTCTGAAATCGGTCAAGATTCTTTGGTTTCGTAGTGCGTTTAAAACCGAAGGTACAACAACATTCAAGAACACATGGCTTCGCAATGTCAGTTTTCAAAGAAGCCTGCGCTCAAGCTCTTGCGAATTCTTAAGAGAACAACAGGATCCTCAACGCTTTCATGGGATTCTGCCGCATGGGCCTCTGGCGCGGCGTGCCGAAATCATTCCCGCGCCCTTGCGCGCGTGCTGGGGGGTGGGTGGGTGGGCGGGCGGGTGGGGGTGAGGTGGGGTGGTGGGGGGGGTGGGGGGTGGGGGGTGGGGGGTGGTGGGTGGTGGTGGGGGGGTGGGGGGTGTGGGGGTGGTGTGTGCGTGTGTGTGTGTGTGTGTGTGTGTGTGTGTGTGTTGTGTGTGTGTGTGTGTGTGTGTGCGTGCGTGTGTTGTGTGGTGTGTGTGGTGTGTGTGTGTGTGTGTGTGTGCGTGTGCGTGTGCGTGTGTGTGTGTGTGTGTGTGTGTGTGTGTGTGTGTGGTGTGTGTGTGTGTGTGTGTGTGTGGTGTGTGTGTGTGTGTGTGTGTGTGTGTGTGTGTGGGGGGGGGCGGGGGTGGGGGGTGGGGGGTGGAGGGGGGCGCGATCCGTGTCAAATGATACCATGCGGGCCACTCTCGCGCGTCGGCCGCGCGCGCATGTCGAACTCATTCCAAAATCTTCACCGCCAATGAGAGGACACCGTCATCGTCGTCGGCGTGACCAGCATCTGCGCCCGCACTGGCCGCGCCGTCGTCGTTGTCAACATCGTCACCAACATCGATGCTGTCATCATCGTGTCTACCGTGGTCGACGTTGCCATGGTACCGCGCCCGCCCAGGTCGCCGACTTGCAGTGCTGTGCCAGCTGAGATGCGCCCAGCGGCCAGCGCCACCGCGGCCGCGTCGGTCGCGCCAAACTAGCGGGCCGCTGCGCGCGCGCTTGGGTTC